TTGCAGCCTCCTTGAATACATTAGGGCCTGCTTCAAAAAAAAAAAAAACAGAGGAGGAAGATCAGGAGGAGGAAGAAAAGGAGGAGGAGAGGGAGGAAAATAAGGAAAGAAGAAAGGAAGGAAGGAAGGCAGGAAGGACAGAAGGAACAGAAAGTGCAAGTGGGCAAAGATCTTGGATCTGTGTGCCCAGCAACATATTGTGTGTCGTGCCCAGCGACATATTGTGTGTTGAAGAACAGATGCTAGACTATAACTCCTGCCTTCTGGGGTCTTATGGCTCTATCTAACATGATAAAAAGAGAAACAGAATGGTTCCAGTGTGGGGTGAACTTAGGAGGATAAAGGATATAGGCCTTGGCTGACTGCAGTCCATCAGACTGCTGTTTGGAGTACTAGAGCCTTGTGGGTATGTGATCCTTGATCCCCTGCTTTATTGTTAATCATCCCTTTGCCAGGGGCAAAGACAGTAATCCCATCTGTGAAGACCATGGAAAAACACCAACTCTGTTTTCAAGGGTCGCTGTCATCACATGACCTTCTCAATTCCAAGTTCTCAACTCCAACCTGTCAACTCTTATTGTCAACCCTCTTCCTAAATTAACAAACTCCTTACTACATTAGGTTGGATGAACCTAAGTAGAAGAGAAGACAGGCCTAGGGGTAGCTAGAGATATGAATGGGGAAAGGGGGACATTTAGAGGAGGGCAATGGGAAAAGGTGTATCTTTTCAATCATATTAATTATATATAATGGGTTTCATTGTGAGATTTTCATACATGTATCTAACATATTTTCATCTCATTTACTCCCCATTATCCTCTCTTGTCCTCTTCCTACCTCTACTGATCTCCAGGAAGTAATATTTTTAATGGAGGTGGAAGAAGGTTCATCTTTAGTTGAAGAAGAAAAAGGAAAAGCCTCAGAGAAGGATAAATGAGGCAGTGTCAGGGGCTTAGTTCAGTCACTATACCACTGGAATCAATTTGTTTTACAAATACAGTCATTGGGGGAGTTGGCCCAGTTGAGCCAAGAGGTATTAATAGGACACCCCGTTAAGTCAAATCTCAACAGTCTATTAATTTAGTCCCTTAGGATATTTGTGGACTTACCCACAGGGTGGAGACAGGAAGTGATAAATCCTACCGGCACTCAGGTTGAAATAAGCAACCTTGATCCACCATCATGCTTCAAACAAAGCACCCAACAGCCCCACCCTGAGGAAAAGCTTATCAAGGTGAACACCCCCAAAGGGTAGCCCAGGCCTCTTGCTGACCAAGTGAATTTTGAGAGAACAAGTTAAGGAAAACCAGTACCACAAGTCCACTGGATTTGATAAGAGGGTCTGTAAAAAGATAGGCTGGACAAAGTACTAGGTCCTCATCATCCTGGACTTGATAAAGACTGGGTAATGTAAGAAGTTGTGAAAGAGGCCTTCCTGCTTGCAGAATAAGCTCTCAGACAACCTGGCTAGACCAGTGGTCAAGCATCATCAGATTTGCAGTGCAGTGAGTTTTATTGCCAATACTTCCATGTCCAGGGGCAAACCACCAAGGTCAATGCCCTTTGAGATGTCAAAACAGCAGCTCCATCACTTACCAGACCAATGGCCCTGAGGACAATTTCTTAATGTTGCTGGGAATCAGCTTCCTCAGCTGCAAAGAGATGATATGGGTGTGCAGTGTCTGGTACACTGCCAGGCACATGGCAAGTCTTAAGTGAAGGGTTACTATTTTCAGGGCTGGGGAAATGGCTCAGCTGGTAAAGCACTTCTTGTGCAAGCACAAGGGACTAAGTTAGATCTTCAGAATCTGTGTTTTTAAAAAAAGCCAGGTATAGAGGCACATGTGGTGTCCCAGCACTGAACTGGGGACAGGCAGATTTCTGGGGCTTGCTTAGCCTGGAGAGTTCCAGATCAGTGAAACACTGTCTCAAAAAGAAGGTGGAATGACTCTGAGTAACAGCATTAGAGATTTTCTTCTGGCCTCTCCATGCATGCACACACATGGATGCAAACCTGCATTCACAAGTACATTACACACACACGCACACGCACACGCACACACACACGCACGCATGCACGCACATGGCTTGCTTAGCCTGGAGAGTTCCAGATCAGTGAAACACTGTCTCAAAAAGAAGGTGGAATGACTCTGAGTAACAGCATTAGAGATTTTCTTCTGGCCTCTCCATGCATGCACACACATGGATGCAAACCTGCATTCACAAGTACATTACACACACACGCACACGCACACGCACACACACACGCACGCACGCACGCACGCACACACATACACACAGTTGTTCTTTTTCATCTTCTGTTTACTGCCATTTTCAAGTTCTTATCCATATCAGATGATCTGCTATGAGGTGTCCCAAAAGAAAAGATAGGATCATGGTCTTGGTTCCTCTTACATGCAAAGCTCTTAACAAGGCCACATTTCTTCTTAAACACAGCACTTCTAATTGTAGGAAGCAAGGGCTAACTCTGACCCAGCCCCATTACCTTCCTCACATCCTCCCACAAGCCATTCATAACCTCACAGTCTTAGACTAGACCGACTCAGGAAGATGGGGAGATCTGTACAGCAGTGCAGGAGCTGGCTGACTTCCCAAACCCCATGAACTCATTTATTTATTCACAAAACAGGAATGGAGAACCTAGGAAGGATCTGGACGGAAGTATGCCAGTGGGCAGGGTTACTAAGGGACTATTTCTGACCTCAGGACACAAGGACACAGAGAAGAGAAACAGACCCAGATGCATTATAAGAGAAAGTGGTAAGAGGCATGGTGATGACCGAGATCAGGGCTGCTGGGACCACACCACCCTTGCAGAGTGCTGCCAAACTCCAGTCACCTGGCATATGACACAGGCAGTGCACTCTTAGTTTCTAGAATATTGCCAAATCCTAGCCTGGGGAATCATCTGCCTGGAGAAGGGAAGAAAATATATCTTCCTCTCCACGGTTCTGTTCCTTGTTTGTTCAGTACAATTCACCTAACAAAAATTTAACCGTTTTAAAGCAGACAATTTAGTACATTTACGATGTTGTACCACATCCACTTCTATTCAATTCCCAAACATTTTTATCACCTCAAAAGGAAACCCTGTACCTACTCACCCCCTCCCCTTTCTTCCCTCCCTCAGCCTTAGAAATAGTCTATATTCTGATCTGAGATGGGACGATTTTCAAAGGCCAACATCTTCCAGTTTTAAGTCACATTCACTTTTCGAACTAAATAAACTCAAATTCAGATTTTAGGTCCAACTATCCATGTTGTAGTCAGAGTCTTTATTTCTAAGCCTCACTTTTCTCATTTACCAAGAATCTATTTCCTAGGACTGTTAAAAGTTCTAAGCATGGCGCTTCCCCCAGTGAAGTAGCTGGGATATTGTGGTTCCAGGAAAACATCAACCTGAAACTCAGGGGGTTAATATCTGAGCTCAGTGTCTAGTGTCCAGGTTATTATAATGAAAATCTTTCTACAAATTAAATTTGTAGGATATCAAAGGAAAGCTAATCCTACAAGTGAGTGAAGAACAGGTTTGTTTTAAATTTTAACATTTCATTAGCATCAGACTGCCTACAGTTTCCGTTCATTTGACAATCTGCTTGCCCTGTGACCTTGTGGAAGATGCTTCACCTCTGATGCTACTTACTGTCAGCCATAAAACTGCAACTGCCCATCTCAAAAGACTATCTTGACTAAATATGATACCCAGCTATGCTGGTGCATCACTGACTCCAGTCTCCCTCTCTCCATAGTTCTCTTCCCTTTACTCTCCCCTCTCCTGAGCCTGTGGCCCCATTGCAACTATAGCACTGAGGTACAAAGATACCCTGACATTGTTGCAGGTGTTTTTGCTCTGTAGATTGCTCTGAGTCCAAGGCGAGCCTGGTCTACATTAGGAGTTTCAGGCCAGCCTGGACAACAGAATAAGACTGTCTCAAAAAACAAAACAAAATAAAATTGCAATATAGCTTTAGGTCAGAATCCTTAGCTTTTCAAAACTCTCTGTTTGGTTTGGACAGTGTTTTAAAATAATTAAATATGATGTACTTCTCTGTGTTTTGTCACAAAAATTCTGTTGTGAGTTTTTTCTAGTATTCCCGCCACCAGCACCCTGCTGTATGCCGTCTTTTCCCATAACCTGCATTTACAGCTACTGTTTTAATTAGGCTTTTGTGCCTTTTATTGGTGGAGACAAACATACAAGTGATCTACACAGAATTTTAGACCATGTTTCTTCTAAGGTGTAATCCATATTTGCCTAAAACAGGTGTCACTTAGGGTGACTCTATGTTCCAATATAGAGGGTGGATCAAAATCTATCCCTCCATTTCCCCTTTTAACCTGACCAATATTTTATTTGTATTTAGTTTAGTTTAGACTCTTTCTGTTATAGGAGTGAGAAGTTCAGTCCTACCACTTAGACTAGACAGTCAAAAGACGGAGTTGATACATACATGAGGCATCAAACCCCAGCCAATGAACCTTTCTCAAAGTTCACACCCTGAAAGTCCTTAGAGGTCACACTGGATTTAACCTGTGCTCCTACCCTTGAAAATAGACTCATCTTCATTCAGATACCAATCCATCCTCCTCTCCATCTCCTCAGCCTTATCCTTCAGCTCCTACCATCCAGGAGTCCAATGAAAATCAAGGTTAAACCCCCAACCCACCCCAGCGAGCTATGCCACATGCTCAGGCCCACAAAAACCATCTCTGTTGTAGTCTACCTCTTGAAAAGCGGCAGGAAAAGAATGATCCATGCCTCCTCTGCCTCCTGTTCCCTTGCCTCTCATGATACAAAGGAAAACAGGTGCCTGGGATCCCCCAGGGCAGAGAGAGCATGGCGCCCACGTGGGGCATAGCGAGCTGTAAATTTCAATTAGCTTCCTGAAGCTGGGGGGTCAGGGTGGGGGGTCAGGATGCCTCTGTCATGGGCCCAGGAGCCCTCTGGTTGAATCACATCCCTGCCAAAGTCCCCTTACCCTGTGAGGAGCCGAATGCCCCGATGCTTCCTGCGAATGGGGCTTCCTGGCTTCCAGTTCTTCCTGGCTCAGGAGCCCCTGTCCCTGCTTCCTCAACCCTGGTTCCTCCAGGGACCTGATGGCTTCAGAGCGTCCATGCAGGCAGTCAGCCTGGCTCAGTGGCCCCACTTCTGCCCTGCCCTGAGCTGTCCCAGTCACGCCATGGCTGGGCTTTTTGACATGCCGGTGCTCGGGGACTTCACTTCCTGTTTTTTTTTTTTTTTTTTTTTTTCTTTCCAACATGAAAGGGGAAGGCTTTTAAACCCGGGGGGGACACGCCCACAACGCTA